CTCGAGCAGAGGCGTGGGCAGTGTCTGGGACCTTGGCTTGGGCACCGCTTAGGCTTGGCCGAGGCTATGCTTCGGCTGGGCTGAGGCTGATGTTTAGGCTGGGACTTGGCTTAGGGCTACGGCCGCGGCTCATGCCAGGCTGGTGCTGGGGCTCGGGCTAGGCTGAGGCTGAGGCTTGGGCTGAGGCCAGGCAACGCTTAGGCTGCGGCTGGGGCCAGTCTGAGCCATCAGCCTGTGCTTATTAGCCTGGGCTTAGGTTGATGCCCAGGCTTGGGCTTAGGCTGAGCAGGGCTGGCGTTGAAGCTTATGCTGAGGCTGTTGCCTATACTTGGGACGGGCTCAAACCAGTCTTTGGGCGACGCTTGGGCTGGGCTGAGGCTTGGGTTCAGGCTGGAGCTAAAGCTATGTACAGCTTAGGCTGGACTTCGGCTGGGCTTCGGCCAGGCTGAGGCTCAGGCTGGGCTGACCAAGGCTGCGGCTTAGACACAGGCCGTGGCTTGGGCTAGACTTCTTATTGCGCTAAGCGGAGGCTGGGGCTCGGGCTGAGGCCGATTTGGCTGGGGTGATGTATAGGATGGGTCTCAGGCTGGGATGAGGCTCAGCGCGAGGCTTCGGCGCGAGCTGAGGCTGAGGCCTGGGCTGGGCCAGATTGTGGCTCAAGGATCTGCTGGAGCTTAGGCTGTGCTCGTTCGCGGGTTCGGCTTAGCTGAGGCTGCGCGTCCACGGTGCGGGCGGGTCCCTCCGCATTCTTCGGTCACCATGTCTGGGTGCTGCTTTCACAAACCACGCGCTCGTCGATGATGGCGGCGTGGAGACTTGCGCCCTCGCCTGTCCTTGGGGGACATCCGCCTGGAGGCGGGGGGCCGAGGGTTGCAGGGGCAGGGCGCGCGGCCGCGGCCTGGCGCCCCGGGCGGTCGTGCGAGGTCGCGCGCGGCTTCCTGGCGCAGGGGCTTGGGCGGGATCCTGGGCTCATGCATGAATGCCAAGGCGTGCGACGTAGCGCTGGGGCCCACTGCTAAGGCCCGACGGAGTGGGTCGCAGGCCTCGCGCGCCCGCGGCGCGGGCAGGGCCCTCCATGTTCTTGGGTCTCGAATGTTCTTCGGTATCGGTGTCAAGGCGCTGGCTCAAGCAACCGCGCGCTCGTGGGCCATGGCGGCGCGGAGACGCACACCCTCGCATGTTCTTGTTTTTCGGGGACAGCGGCCTGGAGCTGCTGGGCCTCAGGTGGCGGGGCCAGGCCGCACGGCCGCGGCCTTGAGTCTGGGGCTGGCAGGCCAGGTCGCGCGCGGCTCGCTGGGGCATGAGGTCGAGGGCGAGAGCTTGGGCGGGTGCGCGCATGAGTGCCAGGGCGTGCGACGCGGCGCTGAGGCCCACTGCTAAGGCTCAGAGTCCGAGGCCGCAGGCCTGGCGCGTCCGCGGCGTGGGCAGGACCCTCCATGTTCTTCGGTCTCGGTGTCAATGTGTCGCCTCCAGCAGCCGCGCGCTCGTGGATGACGGCGGCGCGGAGACGCACACCCTCGCATGTTCTTGTTCTGGAGCTGGGCCTAGGGTGGCGGGGGCCAGGCCGCGCGGCCGCGGCCTTGAGTCTGGGGCGAGCAGGCGAGGTCGCGCGAGGCTCCCTGGGGCGCCGCGGGGTTGGGGCGAGAGCTCGCGCGCGTGCATGAGTGCCAGGGCGTGAGACGTGGCGCTGAGGCCCACTGCTAGAACCCGACTAAGCTGGCCGCGGGCCTCGCGCGTCCGCGGCGCGGGCAAGACCCTCCATGTTCTTCGGTCTCGATGTCAACGTGCTGCCTCCAGCAGCCGCGCGCTCGTGGATGACGACGGACGCGCGGAGGCAGATCCAGGGCACAGGAACACAGCGTGGGTCTCGGGGGGCGGGGGGGGAGGGGGTCAAGGCTTCGGGGTTGCGTGGTCCAGGCTGTGCAGCCGAAGGCTTTAGGCTGGGGGCTGAACCAGATGCGTACTTACGCACGTTGGCTCGGAAGTGAAGGTCGGGGACACCTCGGAAGGGCATCCTCGACGTCCTTATGGTTTGGGGTACTTTGGCCCGCGGAGGGTCTCATGTTCTTGCTCGATGTTTTTGTGTCCTTGTTCCGGCCGTATGGTGGGGGGAAGTCACGCCTTCCATCGTAGAATCATCGACACCCATAGAAGCCCGTGGCACCCTGGAGGCCCGCAGGGTGCTTCTCGGCATGGGCCTCCACTGCAGGACCAGGACAGGCGATGCGCAGTCGAAACAGGACCACGAGAGCAGTGACAGAGCACGCGGGCCCCTTGGCCGAGGGCCCCAGGCCCCCCTGCGGAGATACTCGAGAGATGCGAGACCATTCCAGGGCGAAGTGGTGGGCCCATTTTCCACCACCGCTGCCATCAGTAGCACGGAGAAGAGGGGAGGATGAGGAGGTCCTCCTTCTCCTCCTCCTCGTCCTCCTCGTCCTCCTCGTCCCTCTTCTGTCTATGGTAATGGTGGTGGAAAATGGGCCCATCACGGAGGCCCAACTGCGAAGAACATCAGCGCACCCCTCCAAGGCTAAAATTGTTCTTACGGAACCACGGGCCTTGAGAGGCCAGGCCGGCACTTTTCGAGAGGGGCGCGGGCAAAAAACGGTCGAGAATGGGCCGAAAGGGAAAAATGCAAAGGTAACCTTGGAACATCGCTCATGCTTACTATCCGTGTTGACTGCAGGGGAAAAGGAAAAACGTAAGCGTAAACTGTCGGAGGTCTGCTGAGACCTCTTGGATCGGCGCCTGAGGCGCCGCCAGGGGCTCTGGCGCCGATCCAACAGACACACGTGGAGCTTCGAAAGTTCATGTTTGTGTGATGGTTCCTGCCGTAGAGACGCGGGGCAGCTTCGCCCCACTCAGCCGCAGTCCCACGTGTTCCCCCCCACTTGATCACGACGAGCGCCGCGGTCCTCTCCCGCTGCCCTCCTCGAGGACGATATAATGACAAAAACATGCACTGTCCGAGGTCCGCGCGGATTTCTTGGATCGGTGCTGGACCCCCCTCCCTGGCGCGCGGAGCGCGCCAGGAGCGGCGCCGGAGGCACCTCCAGGGGGCTCCAGCGCCGATCCAAGAGATTCCCGGGCACCGCCTAAGTTGATACTTACATCATCGTGTGTTCCTCAACGTCAGGGCGGGGCTCTGTCGCAAGCGCCGAGGGAGCGTTTCTCGTTGGCTCGAGCGCGTCCAGGCGTCTGACAGAGGCTTTCGATTGCTTTGAGCAGCGCCGCGCGCGCGGCATCCCTCCGCCCTCGCGCCAGCCACAAATGGGAGCACGAGGGAACTGGGGCGATAGGTGATGGCCAGGAGCGGAATGGGTGAGGAGCAGTCACATCCCTACTCCCCCTCCGTTGTCTCACCGCCCTCTGTAATCCCAACCATCCCGGGTTGGGTATTCGTTTTGAATAGAGCACTGCGGTCTTCAGTCCTCCTCCTCCTCCTCCTCCCGCCTCCCGTCTCCCGCTTCCGTCTTGTCTCCTCTTGCCTTGCGCGTACCTCGTGTGTGTGTGTCCCTCGTGAAAATATGTGTGTGTGTGTGTTTGTGTGTGTGCGTGCGTGCGTGCGTGCGTGCATGCGTGCGTGCGTGTGTGTGTGTGTGTGTGTGCGTGTGTCCCAACAATCCTTGGTTGGGTATTCGTTTTGAATAGAGGACTGCGGTCTCCAATTCTCCTCCCACCTCCCGCCTCCCGTCCCGCTCCCCTCGTGTCTCCTCCTGCGTTGTGCGGACCTCGCCATCCCTGGGGGGCTGCGATCTGCGACACTGTCGCCGCTTTCCAGGGCTGCTGGTGGATCCAGCGGGGTGAGGCTCCGCGGGGATCTGAGGTAGACTTTGCCGTCCCTGGGAGGCTGCGACCTGCGAAACTGTCGCCACTTTCGAGGGCTGCTGGTGGGTCCAGCGGAGTGAGGCACTGCGGGGATCTGAGGTAGACCTCGCCGTCCCTGGGGGGCTGCGATCTGCGAAACTGTCGCCACTTTCGTGGGCTGCTGGTGGGTCCTGCGGAGAGAGGCACCGCGGGGATCTGAGGTAGGCCTCGCCGTCCCTGGGCGTCTGCGATCTGCGACACGGTAGCCACTTTCGAGGGCTGCTGGTGGGTCAAGCGGAGTGAGGCACTGCGGGGATCTGAGGTAGACCTCGCCGTCCCTGGGGCAAACTGTCGCCACTTTCGAAGGCTGCTGGTGGGTCCAGCGGAGTGAGGCACCGCGGGGATCTGGGGTAGACCTCGCCGTCCCTGGGGGGCTGCGATCTGCGACGCTGTCGCCACGTTCGAGGGCTGCTGGTGGGTCCAGCGGGGTGAGGCACCGCGGGGACCTGAGCGAGGCCTCGCCGTCCATGGGGGGCTGCGACCTGCGAAAATTTCGTCACTTTCCAGGGCTGCTGGTGGGTCCAGCGGGGTGAGGCACCGCGGGGATCTGAGGTAGGCCTCGCCGTCCCTGGGGGGCTGCGATCTGCGACACCGTCGCCACTTTCGAGGGCTGCTGGAATGAGGCACCGCGGGGGCCTGAAGTAGACCCCGCCGTCCCTGGGGGGCTGCGATCTGCGACACCGTCGCCGCTTTCGAAGGCTGCTGGTGGGTCCAGCGGAGTGGGGCACCGCGGGGATCTGAGGTAGACCTCGCCGTCCCTGGGAGGCTGCGACGGGAGCCTTTTTCTTACTGTCGTGGGCCTCGCGTGGAGGGCCCTGGGAGGCCACAGAAGGCGAAACACCTCAGGACCCGTTCCACTTCGGGCCCGCTTCCCCAATGGGGATTCATGGCAACATGGTCTCCTCGGCTCCGTCGCACCCCTCAGCCAGCGGCTAGCCGCCGCCGAAGGCCGCCGTGCGCTCCCCGCCCGAACGGACACCTCGGCATCGCTCGGACGTCCATTCCCTGTGCTTTCTTCGGTTTCGTGCGTGGTTTTTTCGCCAGATGATCAATGATGCTCTTCGATGGTCCCCACCGAGGGAAAAATGCACACGTCCGAGCGATGCCAAGACACTTGGCAGGCGGCGCGGGACCTCTCGTGCTCGCCGCCCTGCGCGAAACACTCGACCAGGGCCCCGTCCGCGCCCCACTGCGACACCCACACCTCGGGGCGGCGCGCCACGCGGCGCTGCCCGTTGCCGTGCCCCTCCCTCGCCCTGCCCTCACCGTCGTCCTCCCCGTCCTGCCCATCATCGTCCCCCTCCCCTCCCCCTCTCCTCTTCCTTAGAGGCCTCCTGGATGGGGTCGGAGTAGATGGGGTCGGAAGACCGCGCCGCATCGCCGATACATCGGCGATGCATCGGCGATGCATCGGCGATGCATCGCCGATGCACCGGAGATGAGGCGTCGACGTCGGCGATGTATCGGCGACGCCGGCGTGGAGAAAATCGGGCTCCGCATCGAGCAGCATCGTCGATGCATCGGCGATGCGGCGCGATCCTCCGACCCCATCTGCACCGACCCCATCCAGGAAACCCAGATTCCTCCACCTCTTTTTTTCACCCGGTCTCCCCATGCATAAATTAACCAATGCCTCCCGGTCGCACCTCCAAACGTGTCAGTAGGGCGGGCCGGGCGTCTCGCCTGAGACGCCCTCACCAATCATGATCCTGAAGCTTGAACGGTTCAACAACTTCAGGAAACGAGGGCGGGTCATGCGGGTCATGCTCAACATGTTGCTCTCTAGCCTTAGCGCCGCGCGCATTGGAGTTCCGAGCCTGCAGCAGCTCCAAGCATGGAGGGCGAGTGGTGCTCAGAGCGTGGCTCTCGCCTCAGGAAGGGCCCCTTGGCACCCCTCCGCGCCAGGGCCCCGCGCAACCCGACTGCCCGGCGGGGGCCCGCCCCGCCCGCTTGCCCGAAACCGGCCCTTCGAGGGAAGGTCCGCCCGCCCGACAGGGGCCCGTCCGCGCCCGCCCATCGGGCCCGATCCCCGCCCGCCGGGGCCTGCCCGTCCGCCCCGCCCGCGGGGAACCACTGGCCCGACGCCCGAGCCGCCCGCGCGAGCCGCGGCCCCGCACGACCGGGGGCCCCGCGCTCGAGCGTCCAAGCCCGTGCGCCCCGGCCCGCCCGCCGGGGTCCACCCGCCCGGGCCGCGCGGCGCCCGCCCGTCCGACCCGCCCGTCCCGTCAGGGCCCGCGCCGCGCGCATAGGCCCGGCAGAGGGCCCCGAAGAATACATGGCTGGGGGGGGGCGGGCCGCCCGCAAAATGCAGCGCAAACGAGAGATGAACGCCAGCAGCAAGTGCCCAGTACCCCCAAGGAGGGTTTTTAAACCGATGGCGGTTTCCAAGGTCGATCGCGTGCCCGTCCAGTGCGGGCTGGCATGGCATGTTCGAACATGATGACATGATGTTTGCCCATGAGATACTTACACGTAAGCTTGTGTGTCGCATGCCTAACAGGAAGCTAACGCTAAGGTGTCGTCTTTCTCGCACCTGGTCGACGAGTAAACTGTCGGGTCGGCACTGTGAGAGGCTCCACCGCTATGCTGTGAACTCGGAAGCAACTGTAAGAGGAAGCGGGGAAGGGCGCGGAAGCGGGGGGGCATGTCGTGATGGTTCCCCCGGGGATGATATCGAGAGGTACGCGGCGCACGTCTCAAAAGAAAAATCGCGACGTCGGATGTCTGGGGAGGGCGGAAGGCAGGGCGCGCATGACGGATGCTGAGGCGGCAGAAACGACGACGGCGGGGACGGGGAGGCGGAGGCAGAGGCGCAGCAGCGGGAGGCGGGAGGCGGGAGGAGGGAAGAGGAGCCAGGCGGGAAGCGGGGAAGAGGGAGGCGGGAGAAGGAATGAGAGAGGTTGTGATTGGAGCCCCTGTGCTACGAAACGTCTCAGGCAGAACGGGCCAGACCATCTCGCACGCAACATCTTCGAGCTTCGCATTGTGAGGATGGCTCAAGCGAAACGGGCCGGACCACCTCGCGAGCGACATCTTGGAGCTCAGTAGTGGAAAGATGTCTCAAACGAAACGGGCCGGACAACCTCTCGCACACGTTCTGACAAATCCACGTCACACTCGCCTCCCGTCAGGTCCTCTCCTGCAACTCCCTTCCTCCTCCTCCTCCTTCTCCTCCTCCTCCTCCTCCTCCTCCACCTCCTCCTCTTCATCCCGAACGGCATCTCCGAGCCCAAAGTTGCGAGGATGTCTCCAGCGTAACGGGCTGGACCACCTCGCGCGCGGCATCTCGGACCCTTGAATTGCGACGATGTCTCGGGCGAAACGTGCAGCGAGGAAGTCTTAGGCGAAACGGGCCGGACCACCTCGAGCGCGGCGTCTCAGAGCTCCGAGTTGCGGGGGCCTCCTGGGGCCTCCTGGGGCCTCCTGGGGACCTCCTGGGGCTTCCTCCTGGGCCTCCTGTGGCCTCCTGGACTCCACCTGGGGCTTCCTGAAGCCTCTTGGGGCTCCCAGGGGGGGATATCGAACATGTGGCCGCTTGGGCCCCTCAAGATGGGGGAAAAACACAAAAGATCAACGAATCGACACCAGATGTGGATTAAGTTGACACGTTCTGGTAGGGGGCCTCCTGGGGCCTCCTGGGAGCCTCCTGGGAATCTCCTGGGGACCCCTGGGGCCTGTCCTGGGCGTCCTGCGGCCTCCTGGAGCTCTCTGGCGCCGCCTGGGGCTACCAGGGTCCCAAGGAGGATATGTAACATGTGGTCTTCTGGGCCCCCAGGCTGGACCACCACTCTTGCGCGGGATCTGGGAGCTCAGAGATGCGAGAATGTCTTGTGCGAAACAAGACCACCTCTTGCACGGCATCTCAGGCGAGACGGGCTGGACCACCTCGCGCAGGGCATCTCCGAGGTCAGAGTTGCGAGGATGTTTCAAGCGAAACGGGCTGGACCACGTCGCGCGCGGTATCTCCGAGGTCAGAGTTGCGAGGATGTCTCAGGCGAAATGGGCTGGACCACCACTTGCGCGGCAGCTCAGAGCTCAGAGTTTCGAGGATGTCTCAGGCGAAATTGGCCAGACCACCTCGCGCGCGGCATCTCAGAGCTCGGAGTTTGGAAGACGTCTCAAACGAAACGGGCCGGACCACCTCTCGAGCGGCATCTCGGAATGATGAAGTGCGAAGATGTCTCAAGTGAAACGAGCCGGACCACCTCTTGGGCGGCAACTCGGGGCTCAGGGTTTGGAGGATGTCTCACGCGAAACGGGCCACACCACCTCTCGCGCGGCATCAGAGAGCGCAGAGTTGCGAGGATGTCTCAGGCAAAACGGGCTGGACCACCTCGCGCACGGCATATCGAGGCTCAGAGTTTGCAGGATGTCTGAGGCGAAACGGGACGGACCACCTCTTGCGCGGCATCTCGGAGCCTAGAGTTTCGAGGGTGTCTCAAGCGAAATGGGCTGGACCACCTCTTGCGCGGCATCTCGGAGCCTAGAGTTTCGAGGGTGTCTCAAGCGAAATGGGCTGGACCACCTCTTGCGCGGTATCTCAGAACTCAGAGTTGCGAGGGTGTCTCAGGCGAAATGGGCCGGACCACCTCGCGCACGGCATCTAGGAGCTCAGAGTTTCGAGGATTTCTCAGGCGAAACGGGCCAGACCACCTCTTGCGCGGCATCTGGGAACTCAAATATTGTAGGATGTCTCACACGAAACGCCCAATCCCGGACAACTCAGAAACCAGAGTTGCGAGGACGTCTCTGCTTTAAGTTCCCTCGGCTGGAGTTAGCTTCTAGCACAACAGCACCCCGTTCAGCAAGCTGTTTGGGGGAAAACAGCTACACGGGTTGAGGCCGCTTCATTTTCTGACAGGGACTCTCGTTGAACACGTTCTTATCCTTATGGCCGTATAGAACATGTTGTTCTCACAGCTGAAAGGCCTGGATGACAGGCCCCTGGGAGGCTGTTGTTGCAATGGGGCGCTTCCAGAAACGCTTGGGACGGGAGAGTGTTGCAGCATGTTTGATGTGCCCTAGGTTTACCATGGTCCTCCTCTTCAACAGTCATACTCGTCCTCCCTCTCCTCCTTCATCGTCCTCCTCCTACTCCATGTGTCCGCGTCTATCTCCGTATCCAGCTCCGTCTCCTCCTCCCTCCTCATCCTCTCCTCCTCCTCCAGCTTCTCAGGCTTTCCCCTTCTGCTCGTCCCGATCATCTCTCCGCCTCCTCCTTCTCCTCCTCCTCCTATTCAATATCCTCCTCCTCCGCCAAGCAAAACAACAAAAAGACGGCGTCAATGTCATTCCAAAAAAGCCCCCGAGGCATCTGGGACGAGCCCGACCCCGCAGACCAAAAGGCAAGCCGTGAAGCTTTCGACGGAGGGCCGCCGCTGCCTGGGCGGGGTGGGCTATCGGGCCCTTATCGGCGATCAATGGGCAAACTGGTGTCGATGCATCCCCCCAAGAGCCTATCCTCTGGGGCCCTGGGGCACAAAAGGACATAATTAGTGGTACTATGTGTTTCTCTTGACCACACCGTCCGAACCGAACATCTAGCACACTTTCATGTAATACACATCGCTTCCCGAGCGGAATGAGAAAGCACCCGCCACGGAGCTTACACTTCAAGATTTCCCGGCGCGCGCGTCGACCCTGGGGGGCGACGCACGCATAGGATCCGTGTGCCGGCGTGATGCCGCACATCCCCCCCGCGCAAAACGCTGCCCCGCTCAATTAGTCCTCCCCCCGTTCGGGGATCTCCTGACCCGGGTCAATCCAGACCCGGGTCAGCAGGAAACCAAACAACTGCAATGCAGAAAACAAAAACTGCAACGCAGGTCTTCGCAAACCCGGGTCAGCCAATACGCGCGGCCGCCTCGCGGCCACGAGCGGCTCGCGAACCCGGGTCAGCCAGAGGGGTTCTTCGCAGGATCCTGCAGGATCCGGTGCCCTGGCTGACCCGTCTCGAGGGGAGGTCCCCAAGGAGAGCCCCACGAGGCAAAAATCGTTCATTCCTGTTGGAAAGCGTTTGATGCTCCTATGTCCTTTCTTTTCGTTTGCACAGTTTCCAAGACGGCTGTACAGGCTCCCAAGGTCGTCCGCAGACGCCCCCAGGAGAGCCCCAAAACGGTCCGAGACTGCCCCGGGACGGCTCCAGAGGCGCCCAAGGCGGCCTAAGGGGCACCCAAGACAGCCCCAAGAGCGTCCAACAATGGCTCGAGGCCCTCCTCCTCCTCCTCCCCCTCCTCCCCCTCCTCCTCCTCCTCCTCCCCCTCCTCCTCCTCCTCCTCCCCTCGACCCCCGTCTCGAGGCCCCCGACCCTCCGACGCCCTGCAGCTCCCGGGCCATGCCACGTGGCCCCCGGCGGCCACTCGCGGCGGTGCGGGCGCGGCCGCCGAGGCGCGCACGGCAGGGCGCGGCCGCCGGAGGGCACCCCCGAGGCTGGAGAGGCCGCCGCGAGCCAGCGAGGACGCCCGAAGGCCTCGAGCCTCGAACCCGCAGCGTCCCTGCGGCCCCTGGCGTGAGGTCGGGCGTGCCCGGGGGTATAGGAATTCTCCGCTTCCTCCTCCTCCTCCTGCTCCTCCTCCTCCTGCTCCTCCTCCTCCTCATTCTCCTCCTCCTCCCCTCTCTCCCTCCTCCTCCCCCTTCTCCTCCTCCTCCTCCTCCTGCTCCTCCTCCTCCTCCTCCTCCTCCTCCCCCCTGCAGGCGGATGTTGGTCGACACATCAGCACTCGTCAAACCAAGAATCGACGAAGCACCAAAACAATAGTCATAACATCGTCCCCTGTGAATGTTTGATTGCTTTTTTGAATGCTTCTCCTGTAGAGGGGCAGGCCTGACTTAACCGAAGCATCCCTTAGGTCCCTGGCGTTGGGTCGGGCGTGCCCCCCCCCCTACAGGCGGATGTTGGTCGAAACATCAGCACTCGTCAAACCAAGAATCGACAAAGCACCAAAACATAGTCAAAACATCGTCCCCTTGTAATGTTAGATTGTTTTTAAATGTTCCTCCTGTAAAAAATAGTCAATCAAATTGTCCCCTTTGAATGTTTGATTGCTTTTGAAATGTTCCTCCTGTACAGGGACAGGCCCGACTTAACCGAAGCGTCCCTGAGGCCCCTGGCGTTAGGTCGGGCATCCCCCCAGCACTGGTCAAACAAAGAATCAACTAAGCACCAAAACAATAGTCAAAACATCGTCCCCTTGTTTTTGGATATCCCTCCTGTAGAGGGCCAGGCCGACTCAACCGAGGCGTCCCTGAGGCCCCTGGCGTGAGGTCGGGCGTGCCCCCCTACAGGCGGATGTTGGTGAAAAAAAACAGCACTGGTCAAACAAGGAATCAACAAAGCACCAAAACAACAGTCAAAACATCGTCCCCTTGTTTTTGGATATCCCTCCTGTAGATAGAGGGCCAGGCCCGACTCAACCGCAGCGTCCCCGAGGCCCCCGTGGGTGGGAGGCCGGGGGCGCCTCCCAGCGGCCGCCGGCGTCGGCGGCCCAGCAGCGGGCGCCGTCGCCCTGCGCGGCGCGTGGAGGGGCCCGGGGCGCGACTCGCGGCCTCTCGCCGGGAGCGGCCACGAGGGGGGGGGGTCCACGAGGGGGGTCCACGAGGGGGGTCCACGAGGGGGGGGGTCCACAAGGGGGGGGGGGTCCACGAGGGGGGGGGGGGTCCACGAGGGGGGGGTGTCCAAGAGGAGGGGGGGGGTGCACATCATGACCCGCGGCACGTGCGCGGCCCAGCGGGGGGGGGCCAGGGACGTAAGGAAATGAGAAGGGGCGCCAGGAAGTCTGAGGAAGAACCAGGGCCCGCGCCAGGAAATCCCCCCCCCCCCTAGTCATCACCCCCCTCTTTTCCGCTCCCGATCTCGGCCCTGCCGTGTCGTCGCCCTGCCTGCTCCTCCCGGTCATCGCCCCCCCCTCTTTGCCGCCCCTGCCCTTCAGTCGGGTCTGTCCCTCTACAGGGGGAAGATTCAAAAAAACTTAAAAAATTGTCTGGGGACTTTTTTCTGACAATTGTTAAGCATCTTCGAATACGTTTGGAGTACTTTTTATGTTTCGTCTGAAGTCCGCCTGTAGGGGGTCACGCCCGACCTAGGCCTACCCCTACTTGGATCACCGCTGGAGTTGCTGCGAGGACAAGGAGGTTTCTGAGTTGATGCCGAAGTGGGTTACATCTGGCCAAACCTAGCTTATGAGTGGGTTGCAGGTGTCCTAAGCGGCTGGCAAAGATCGGAACGAAGTGGGCGGAGCCCTCTTAGCAGAGTTACCTAACCCCTCAAGCCACTTAGGGCGTTTGCAGCCCATGTGTGGGCCAGGTTAGGCCAGAAGCAACCCACAGCAGCATCTGGCCCCCCTGTTCCCGGAGCAGCCTTACGACGGTGATTCAAGCACAATAATCATCACCCCGGAGATCACGGCACGAGGCAGCAGGGACCAAAAGCAGCAGCCCGCCACCAAAGAAATCGAAAGGTATACCGATACCGCTGCTCCCCATAATACCTCTCCTGGGGTGCATCCTGACCCGAAGGTCGGGGCGAATCTGGCAGTGGCGACGAGGGCATGCCCTGGGGCCGAAAAAGGAGGCAACGAGGCCAGGGTAGCGGCATCGGTACCTTGTTTTCCTCTTCTGAGCTACGGCCCCAACGAGGGGGACGAACAATGACATAAACATACAAACTCGAAGGTTCGCGCGGATTTCTCGCATCGGCGCTGGACCATCCTCCCTGGCGCGCTCCGCAGTCAAGGGCGGCTCCGGAGGCGCCGCGGGGGGGGCCAGCGCCGATCCGAGAAATCCGCGCGGACCTTCGAGTTTTCGTGTTCATGACGCCTCCCTGAGCTGCTGTCGGTCTTTGTACCCACTCTCGGGTTTGCACAAACCTCCCTTTAGTAAACCTCCCTTTAGTGGAAACGGCCTGGGACCGAAACCGACGGACCTGGACCCTCAAAAATGACACCGCGACGCCCTCTCGCGAACCGAAAACGGCCAATTCCTTAATCGACGTGTCAGGGTAGGAGGTCTGTCCACCCCCGATACTCTTTCCGTACCCATCTCGACAGTGCCGAGATTCTGGGCCTCTGGCAGCATTCAACCTCGAACGCCGGCGGCAGGGCCGCCGCCGCATCGACACGGCACACATGCCTACGGCACTGTTGAAGGGGCCCAGGGACACACAAATACATACACACAAATATCAGTGTGAGGAGGACCGAACGGTCATTCTCTGTCCCTGTGTGCGCGTGGCAGAAAGAGGAGGCGGTGCGCGGGAGGGCGCGCGGGGAGGGCGCGCCGGGAGGGCGCGCCGGGAGGGCGCGCCGGGAGGGCGCGCCGGGAGGGCGCGCCGGGAGGGCGCGTCGGGAGGGCGCGTCGGGAGGGCGCGTCGGGAGGGCGCGCGTGGAGGTCGCCTCCTGCCTTTCTTCCGTAGCCGTCTCGGCCCGAGCATGGCGCCGAAGGCGCGCCTGAAACCCAAAGTCCAGCGCCTCGTGCGCCATGGCGTCCCGCGCGCGCCCAGTGGCTCCCAGTCTGGCTTGCGAGCTGCCACCGCTGCGCGTCGCGAGGTTCATCATGACGGAACGGGGGCCTCAAGGAAAAATGTCCCCCATTTCTGTCGCCTCTTTCGCCCTCCAGGGCTTCCCCGCGCGCCCTCGGGGTTTCAAAAAACGACCTTGGGAGATTTTGGGGTGCAGGACCCGTTTCCTTGAGGACCTGTTTCGTTCATGCTCTGAGGCTCTCTTGGCACGGCCAGGTGCTTGGCACGAGTGCCCAAACTGCACGGCTGCCGTGCGCGTGGCTGCCGACGTCGCGCCGACCAGTTGCATTTCTTGCCCGGTGCGCTCTGTGCGGGTGAACGCTGGCGTTCGGGTGGCGTGCGACTTCAAAAACCAAAGCCCGGGTTTGGCGACTGCGTGCTGTTGTTCCAGACGACCGCGCGCAAGCGCGCACTTCGGCGGTCCGGGAGTGCATCGTCGAGTTCGAGACCAAGCACTTGGCGGGCCAACAGATCCCAGGGGGCTTCTGGACTGCCGTGCGTGGAGAGGCGCGCCGGCGCGTTCCCCTCGTTGGGCCGTTGCCCGAACCGGCCGCTGCAGCCCAGCCCTTGCCTTGAAAAAGTCGCCGAAGTCGATTCCGCCACTCCCCCATGTTCATTTCCACCCTCTCCTTCCGGTCCCTCCTCACTCTTATCCGCAATTGCGGGGTGCTACGGGTAAAAGGATTCCCCATAGTCTCCCATATCTTCTGGGTTGTTGCCTTCCCGCCGAATGCCCATATATTTCCCCATCTTTTCTTGGGGATCGACGATTCATTGTGTCTGTGTGTTTTTCCCCCTCCTGAACTGCGTCCGCCCCCCTACCCAGGAGGCCGCCCATGGAGGGGCCCCAGGGCCCTACCACTAACCGGGTCCCCCTACCTGGGGTCCTGGCCATACCCGAGCGGCATACCTACGGCACTGCGTCCGCCCCCCCACCCAGGAGGCCGCCTGCCCCGCGCCGCCCGCGGCGGCCGCGCCGCCCGCGGCGGCCGCGCCGCCCGCGGGCGCCGGCGCGGCGGCCTCGCGCTCGGCGGGCGCCGCGGGGGCCGCGGCGCCCGGCGCCGGCGCGGCGGCCGCGGAGGGCGGCGAGGCTGCCGCGGCGTGCGGCGAGGCTGCCGGCGAGGGCGTGGGCGCGTCGGGCGGTGGAGGGCGGAGGAAGAGAGAGCCTTATGTTGCATCCTCGGGGGACCTTGTCTGTCCCGTCGCGACCCTGCCCGCGTCGAATGCGTGTCGAATCCATGTCGGACGCGTCGGATCCGTGTCGAATCCGTGTCGAATCCGCGTCGAATCCATGCCAAATCCGCGTCGAGTCCGCATCGAGCCCGCGTCGGGCCCCCAAAAAGACACCAAGTTTGGGGACAGGCGAGGTCCCCCGAAGATGCAACAGAGAGAGCCCAGGCGTCTTGGGGGCCAAAAAGCTCGAAAAAGGGGAGCGACTGTACAGAGTCGATGTGCCCAGAGCACTGGTTTCCTCGCCGGGCCCAGGAGGAAAGATCCCCGGAGTGCGAGGTAGCTCTGCGAACCCTCCACGCATGCTTCATGGCTTCAACGAGAAAATCAACATTGGGGTACATCGATTGTGCAATCGGTCCCCTACTCTAAAAAAAAACAGCCAATCGCAATCAACCGTCCCGGGATCCCAGTGGGCCCGCACTGGAGTAGGAGGGCGCCAACAATACACCTACACCGATCGTCGTCAATAGAAACAGCGGGAAGTTTGCAGTCGTGCCGGTTGCTCCATGCGCCGCCACGCTGCTCTCGAGATCCGACTTCGGAGGGGAACCCTGGATAACAGGGGATGTGTCGACCCCTCTCCCCGACTTCGTGGGTTGTTCGAGGAGGCCAAATAACAATTGGAGCCAGCCAAACTAGGAGACATACGACGGGGGAGCGTGCATCCTCGACAGGGGTGCGTCCGAAGAGCCCTCTTTCTGTAAATCCCGAAGTTTCCTATCTTTTTTGAGCGGCCTGACTTTGTCGGAGGCGGCCCGGGGATTGGAGCGGCAGCTGGAGACCCAGCAGTCCAGATCACGTCGGATGCACGTCGGATGCACGTGGGATTTGCGTCGGAGCATCGCCGCGCGAACGTCGTCCCATGTCAGACGGGGCGGACAGGTGGGCTGGATACTGCAACTGCTGATCGCCGCACGAGGCCTCCTGGGTTTCCGCCTGGGTTTCCTCCTGGGTTTCCTCCTGGGTTTCCCCGAGTCCCACGAGACGACGTGATCAACCGGGCAATTGTTCCTCCGCGTCGGCATCACGGGGCCCGTCGTCGGAGCATGGGGGGGGCATCTGAAACTATGCCGGGACGAGGAACTACGCCCGGGGAAGGGGTCGGGACCTCGTTGGGGCCGCGCACTGCGAAAATCACTCCGTCGTAACGCCTTCTGGAGGTCCGCGCAGACTCTTCTGGGGTCGGCGCTGGTACGCGGGGAGCGCTCCCGCGCCGCACAGGGGGGAGGTCCAGCGCCGATCCAGGACATCCGCGCGGCCCTCCGAGCATCGATTCGGCGGCGCGCCCAAGGGGGGAAGACAGAGGGGGCCAGCCTCATGGGAAGGCGGCGGGGCTACTCAGAAGCCCCCCCGCCTTCGGAGAAGCAGCCTGTGGCTTCGGAGAAGGCTCAGGAAGCTTCCCAGGGAGGGAAGGCTTCTGAGGAGCCCCACCGCCATCTGAGAACGCCAACCCCCCGCCCCCGAGATCCGAGGTCACGAACAGAAAAACTAAAACATCACTTTCTGCTGCATTCTTCAAGCCGGATCGATCGGGGAGGATCCCGGGGCCCGTAATTAACCAGACGAAAACGTCCAGCGTGAAAAAAAACAACGCCAGGACTTTATATATATATATATATATGTATATATATATATATATAGATATAGATATGTACTAGAACCATCGCGCGCGTTTCGCGCGCGCTCAAGTTCTAGCTAGGCTTGATGGGCGAACGCATGGAATATCATCCTTGTCGTTTCTTGCATCCAAGGACTCTCTTGGAGGCCCTGCGCAAGCCTCGGAATCGCATAGAGGAGGAACTGCGGAAACGCTAAAATCATTAACTGCCGATAGGTTTTCGACGATTTGAGGCCCTCGAAGGCTTCCTGGGTTCTTTTCTGGCGCCTTAATTGTGATATGTTGTGAAAGAAAAGACAGGGGGGCGAACTTGGGGGAAAAAAGCGGCATGGTGGGTTTCCCCTATTTTTCCCAAGTTGTAGTGCCTGGGCTGTGGGTTAGACGTTTTCTGCATGTAGGCCACGATATGTTGGGATGCTTTTCGGGGTCGCCGTGCAAAAATAAGCAGGGGGTGAGGTTGAAAAACAGGAATTCTAAAATTCCACTGCTTCAACTCATTGGACAATTGGATCTCGAGTTCTACAATGGTTTCAGGGGCAGCCAAGAGGACACAAAAGACGGTCCAAGAGAGTGCCAAGAGAGCGTCAGAGAGTTCAACATGATTCCCGAAACATGTTTGCATGTGACCCCGAAGTCTTGATGGGGCTCGAGGAAGAGGATAGGGAGTAGGAGTCCCAACTTGAAAAAAAAAAAGAAATCTCTGGAGTGCCTTTTTTTCCAAATTCCTGTCTTGGAGCGTTGGAAGCGGGAAAACATGAGAAGGCGAAACACGTCGACAAAAAACACTGAAAATCAACGAATTTACCCTCTTCGGGCTCTCTCGGGACGCCTCTCGTTTGGGGGCCTCGTCGGAGCTTTTGGGGGCCTCTCAAAGGTCTGGGGTATGTTGGAGGGCCATTGTGGGGGCCGGAATCCTCTCGGAGGTATCTGGCGGCCTTCTGCTCCCGCTCTCGGGATCATCTTGGGCCTGTTCTGGGGTGGTCTGGAGCTGTCCAGGGCGCCTCTTCGGCAGTCTTGGGGCCGTCTTGGGGCCGTCTTGGCCTGTCTTGGGGTCGTCTTGGGGGCTTCTTGGGCGGTCTTGGGGACCTCTTCGGCCGTCTTGGAGCGTTGGAAGCATGAAATGGTGAGAAGGCCAAAAATCTTAAACAAAAACAATGCAAATTAACGATTTTAGGTTCTCCGGGCGCTCTCGGGAGGCCCCTCGGAGCTCTCTTGAGGTCTCTTGGAGGCCTCTAGGGAGCCTGGAGAGCCGCCCGAAAGCTATCCTGGGTTGCTTGGGAGCGTCTTGGGCTGTCTTGGGCTGTCATTTGGAAAGCTGGGAAGCGCGGCACCGGGAACGTAATCGAGACGTGAACGAGGTGGAGGACGCCCCGGTAGGGGGCCCAGCGTATTTGTTTGTCTGTTTGTTTGTTTATTTGTTTGTTTGTTTGTTGGCTTGTTTGTTTGTTTGTTGTTGCTCGTTTATATATATATATATATCCATCTATATGTGTATATATATATACATATGAAGACGTATATATATATAAATACATATATATATGTATATCCTTCGCGCGCTTCGTGCGCACTCAGGTTCTAGCAGGCCCCACGCCTTGACGAGCTCACTGCTCCGCTGAAATAGTGGACCACAGTCCACGCATGTCGGTCCGCATTCCGGACGGCTTTCGGGGAAGATGGTTGCGTAGGGGGGCGGAGGCTGGCTGAATCGGGTTCCCAGAAGGCCTTCTGGGAACATGGGTCTTGGAGGCGTCTTGGAGAGCCTGTTGGGGCGTGCCGTCGTCGTCGTCCTCGTCCTCGCCTTCGTCGTTTCGTCGTCGTCGTCGGTTCAAGAAGGCACTTGAGGCAACTTTGTGCAAAACGATCTGCGGGGTGCCGGGAGAAGGCGATCGGTCATGTTCCCAGTCAACTTCCCAGACAGCCCTGCGGTAGCGCTTCGAAGCCCCCAAAGAATCTCGGGCCCATGATGAACCATGTCTCCGGAAGGCTTTCTGGGGACATGATTTGTTGGGGTGTGTTGGGGGCCTCTCAGGCGCTCCCTGGGGGGCCCTTGGGGGCCTCTGGGGGCTCTCGGGCCCATGATGAACCATGTCCCCATAAGGCTTTCTGGGGACATGATCTCTTGGGGTGTGTTGGGGGGCCGCTTGGGCGTTCCTTTGGAGCCCCTTGGGGGTCTCTCGGGGCTTCCTGGGAGCCTCTTGGGCGCTTCCATGGGCCTGCTGGGGGCCTCTAGGGCCAGAGACCTTGAAATATCGGTTGGCGGTCTCCTCTGGGTCCCCTCTTGGGGAGCTCTTGGGGCACACTTGGGTTGTCTCGGGAGCTTCCTGGGCCGTCTTGGGCCCTCGTGGGCCGTCTTGGAGCGATCTGGAGGGCCTCCAAGGCCGTGAGGGAGCGCTGGGAAGCGGGGAAAGCGAGAACGCCAAAATCCTTCAAAAACCATTGGAAAATGACTGAATTTTGCCTCCCATGGCATCCTGAGCGTCTCCTGGGCCTCTTGGGAGCGTCTTTGGCCCTCTCGGGCCCTCTTTCGCCTGTCATGGCCTGCTTCGGGGCGGGCCTGGGCCGCCTCAGGACTCCTCTGTGCTCCGTCTTGGGGCGCTCTTGGGTTGTCTGGGGGGCCTCTAGGGCCTCAACCTGGGGGGCCTTCGACCTCAACCTCGACCTCCAGCCCTAGAGAACTCTCCAGGGCTGGAGGTCTCTCGACCTCAACCTGGGCGGGGGCCTCCGACCTTCTCCTCCTCGAGGCGCGGACGAGGCGGCCGCCGGGCTGGCCGGCGGCACCGGCGGCGGGGCCCCGCTGCCCTGCGCCCCGCCTGGCAGGGCGGGCGCGCGGGCACGGGCGTCGGGGCGTCGCGCCGCCGCGCCCGCCGCCACCGACGGCGCCGCGGCCGGCGCGTGCCCCTGCCGTCTTGCCGCCCGCAGAGTGCCACGCGGAGGCAGAGGACGAGAGGGGGGGGGGAAGAGGAGGAGGGGAAGAGGAGGAGGGGGAGGAAGGAGGGGGGGGAGGAAGGAAGAGGAGGGGAGGAGGAGGAGGAGGAGGGAGGAGGAGGGGAGGAGGAGGAGGAGGAGGAGGAGGGGAAGATGAGGAGAGAAGGAGGAGGAGGAAGAGGAGGAGGAGGAGGAGGAGGAGAGGGACGAGGAGGAGGAGGAGGAGGAAGAGGAGGAGGAGGAGGAGGAGGAGGAGGGGGAAGAGGAGGAGGGAGGAGGAAGGGGAAGAGGAGAAGCAGGAGGATAAGCAGGATCCCGTCGCGCGAGGCCGCCGAGGCCCATCCGAAAGTCGCCCCCGTCCCCCAGGAGACGGCGGCGGACCACTGTTGAACCCGAGACGCACCAGCGATGTTACAATACACGAACTCTCTCCCCCTCCAAGCTCCCTCCCCACAAGCCTCTCTACAAAAACTGCATTGCGGGGAACGCACCATTGAAAGACGGCCGCATGGGGATCTTCAGCCGTGCCAGAACGCCATTCCTGGGACGTCAACGCCGCGAGGCAAGATGATTGTTGCATCCCGATAACTCGCCATCGCTCGGACGTCCATCCGCTGTGTTTTTTTCGGTTTCGTGCGTGGCTTTTTCGCCAAATGATCAAGGATGCTCCTCGATGGTCCTCGCCGAAGGAAAATGCACACGTCCGAGCGATGCCAGGATAATCCCCAATCGTGCTCGAGCGCCGTTCTTCAGACTTCAGCACGGCGAATCCATTTGACCACTCCCTGCGACTCCTTGAAACTATTGCAAGCGTTCAAGACGCATGCGCGCGGCGCGAAAGCTAGAGCCGCATTGTGCAAACGGCCCGCCCTCCATCCTCGCACCTACTGCAAGTTGTTATGACGACTGGGTGCGGCGCTGGGGCGCAAACTTCGCTTTGGAAAGCCTAAGACGAGCCCAGGCCGGAGACATCTCAGACGGCCCCGAACATACCCAGGAATTGGAGGTAACCCAGGAACTCAGAACGGGCCCCGAACATACCCCAATGGACCCGAAGAGTCCCTCGGCAAGCCTTCAGCAGCCCTCAGCAAGGCTACAATGACTGAGAACATCAGGTGTTGGAGAGCCCTTGGGTGGGCCACGATTGGCTCGCCACGGAAGGCCCACCATTGACTCCGAAAGAACTTCAAGCGCCCTTCGGGCCGCCAAAGATGACTACCTATGTAGGGGTCCAATAAAGACTTGGGTGGACCGAAATCGTAAAGGAGTCGAGGCACGGACGACCCAGCTGAGCGCCGGATGCTGTGGAGCTGGCACGTCTCCAGAGCGACAGGCCACTCTCCCTCGGCGTGTTCGTCGTCCTCCTCGTCCGTCTCCCCCCCCGACGAGTAAGCGGGAGTGAAAAGGAGGTAGGAGGGCGGAGGGAGGGGAGGAGGGGGGGGGCACGCAGGGCAAGGAGGATGGGCGAGGGAGGAAGGGGGAAGCGACAGAGCGGGGGAGAAGGGCAGGGTCGGGCGTGCGGGGTGTCGCACGGACACGAGGACACTTTTAATACGTCGGCGGCGAGGCAGAAGCGCTGCACCGGCGAGCGGCGATCCGGGAACGGGGGGGGGTGGGGAGATGGGATGATGGAGGAACAAAACGGGGACACCCCAGAGAGGACTACTCCTGCACAAGTGGAGACTGGCAGTGCCTCCCCTTCTGGGAGAGAGGAGCGAGGAGGGAAGACAGAAGTAAGTCTTTCCTCCCGAGAGACTTCCGCACACGGTGAGGTTAGTATTGCCTCCTCCCCCTTGGAGGGAGGCACTGCAAGCGCGGCTGCACCTGGCGCTCTGGCCCAGCGAAGCCTTCAGGCAAACGTAGCGAGCCGTTCCCTCCTCCTGGATGCCACTCGCTCCTCCTCCCCCTCTTCCCTGCGCCCCCCTCCCTCGTCCTCCCTCCCTCTCCTCCCTCCTCCCTCCTCCTCCCTCCTTCCACCGTGCATCCATTCCCTGTCCCTCCCATCGCTTGCCCTCCCTCCTCCCTCCCTCACGCGCAAGCGGCACCCAGGCGAACCTGCCCTCGCCATTCGCAGGAGACTCTGCAAACGGTGGCGTGGCTGCGCCAGCTCTCTTGGCCTACCGCCGCCCGTGTTGGGTGCGCCGTGAAACCGCGCGCCCACAGCGGACGTTGCGCGAGAACACATTGGCCCCCACGCCAGACAGTGGGCGAAAAAGGAAGAGGACAAGGAGAGGAGGAAGGAGGATGAGGATGACGAGGAGACGGAGGAACACGTGGGGAGAAAAGGAAGGCAAGGACGAGGAGGAAGGGGGGGCCAGGAGGAGGGGGAGGAGAAGGAGAGGACGAGGAAGGAAAAGCAGGAGCAAGCAGAAGCCCCGCCCGGTGGTCTTCGTGCCCAGATCCAAGCGGCACCTGCAATGCACAGTCTGCCTCGTAGGGTTCACTAGCCGACCTCCCGGGAGATCGTCAGGTGGATGACATCCGCCGACTTCAGTGTCTCCAGGATCTGCTTCGCGTTAAATGTCACGCCGTTGCAGCCGATGATGAGATCGTCGGCCTGGACCTCAAGAAATCCACCAACTATGCACCAACGCCAACTGTGTTCAGGCTTAAACTGGGTCTGGGTCTGGGAGTCTTCCGGCTGCCCATGCAGCTAGTCACTACGAGGCCCCCTGCGGACCAATGCCACTAGAGAAAATGGGTTTCAGTGATTTGCTCTGGAGCGGCACTGCAAGTAGCAGGTGAGCAGGACTCCGGATCGGCATGCGAAACATAGTTATGCATTCAGTCGTTCTTGATAAGTACACGTCGGTCGGAAGAAGTAGATCAAAACATGAAGTAGGCAGGCGGATATATATATATATATATATATATATATATAGTGGATTGGGTCCAGGCCCCCCCAGGGAATAACAAAACACAGCAAAAGCATGCCGATTCTTGAAGCAGGAAGGCGCTTGAAGTAGATTGGGATCTGGAAATCCAGAACTTCCTACGACTGGCGTGTATGCATTCACGTCGCTCTTGATAAGTCTGCTTATGCAACCCCTCTCGTGAATGGCCCCGTTGCCCCCCCCCCAACCCCACCCGTTCGCCATGAGCCCCGTTCACCGAACAAGGGGCTCGAGCCCCTCCCTCCCAAATCGGCTACACGCAAGAGTGACCCTGGGTAAGAGTGACCTTTGGTGCGCAGCTTTTTGGGGACCGCGGGGGGACCAACACACAAACGCGCAAGACGCTACTATCGCATCGCGTTTGGCGACCGGGGGAACCCATTTGGCCCGCACCAAAGGTCACTGCGGCGAAAGGTCACTCTTAAGTCTAGTCGACCAAAGCGGCGAGCCCCCCCCCCACCCAACCAGCGAAGGGGTCGCAGTCCGTCCCGGTCTGAATTTTGGCACGCCTCAGAAAACAAACATCAGTGGCCCGGCGCTCAGAGCAGGTCGAGTGGCACTTGAGCAGGGACCGACCGCCCCAGCATTCCTGTAGGCCTACCACGACATGTTCTCAGAACCCGAAAATGTTCTGAGAACAACCGCAAGTTTCTTGTAACATAAAGCCGATGTGCTAAACAAGACTGTCCCAGCCAGAAATATTCTAAGGACAATACAAAAGGTTCTTAGAACATTGTTTGGTCGGCCTATAGGCACGCCAGGACGCTTCGCCACTGCTTGCGACACTGGCCAGGCCAGGGAGAGCAGTGGTGTCGGTGTTGCGCAATTGGCGTTCGCCAGACCTTCTTGCTCGGCTCCTTGGCGTTCCACTTTGGCATGAGCCCGTCAGCGAGGAGCCCCTTGACGCGGACCGCCCTGTCATTCTCTGTCGGATCGGCTAGAAGCATACCCGTCCTCTTGAGGGTAACCTCCTCTTGAGGGAGAACTCCTCTTGAAGGTGGCCTCCTCTTGAAGGCGACCTCCTTGTTGAAGAATCCCGTCCTCTTGAGGGTGACCTCCCAGATGATAGGATCCGGAGTCGACACCAACGACTGGTATGTCGCGGTGCGGTCAACCTCGGTCTCGACGGGTGCTCTCTCACACCCGGCACAGCACCGAAACATTGCCTGCACGGCTGCAGGATGGCCGAGCAAAGATTTGAGGATACAGGCCATGCACCTGCACCGAGCCTCTTCTTGCTCGTCTGTCTATTCGCGCACCTCTTCGTCATCTCCTCCTGCACATGTGCACAAGCAGCAGGCCAAGGCAAACCCATCACGGGTCAAAGATCTACGTGCGCCCCGTCCTGGTCTGAATAAGCAGGCACATGTACATCGATTAAAGCCCCCCCCTACTTTTTGGACGCCCGAAATGGGCACGGAAATAATAAGTACAATGCCCAACAGCAAATGTTGTCCCAAACTAACAGCGGCCGCTGTTGGGCAGGCGGCCTTCTGTCGCGAATGGACACTGGCCGCGGCGACACCGACAGCGAGTCCTGTCCAAAATGAACAGGAACTGCTGTTGTGCATTGTACCCATTCTTTCCGTACCCATTTCGGGCGTCCAATTACTTCACTCCAACTCCGTAAATGGTACTCCTCTCTCTCCTCCTTCCCCTCCAACGCTCCCTCCCTCCGTCTGCCCTCCTCCACCTCGTCCTCCCCCCCTCGACCTCTGTATGGCTCCTCCGTCCCCTGCTCCTCCTCCTCCTCCTCCTCCTCGTCTTCTTCCTCATCGCCTGGTGTGTTCCCCAGGCACCCCTGCTACATCTGCCCGTGCCCCTGCTGCTCATTTCCGTCCTCCTGAGCGTGCCTCCACCCGCTCCTCCCTCTTCTTCTTCCTCCGCGCCGCCTGCTCCTCCTGTTGCCCGATCCGCCCACCTATGCTCCAGATCAGGCTCCTCCGCGCACTGCCGCAACCGACCCCCCGCTCCGCTTCGCATGCTGCTCA